ATCTTTGTCTATGAGAGTAAACAATTGAGCTAAGGGTTCTGCCCACCAATCTATATAGGTCTTGAATAATTCTATTGGTAGACCGTCTGGCCCAGGAGATTTCCCCGATTTGAAATTTTTAACTATCTCTCTAATTTCCACTTCTTCTACCCTTGGCCACTCCTGGAGTTTATTGATTTTATTTTTAGTGGTCTCATTTCCTTTAAGTTCACTGTGTAGATTGTTAAATACAGATGTAAAGTATTGGGACCATTTGGATTCTGCAATTGGTGGTTGGGTTAGTTGATTTTCGGCTTTCAATCCTCCGTACACTAGGTTCCAGAACGCTTTGTTGTTTTTACTCTGAATTGAGTCGAATAATTGTAGCCATTTTTGGGTTGCATATTTCTGTTTCTTTTCGGCCAGAATGTAATGATATTTTCTTTTTTCATCAAGATAAGAGGGCTCTAGTTTAGTGCGATTATTTTTAAATGTTTGGCGCAGTTTTCTTTTTAGCTGGAAACATTCATTGTCAAACCAGGGGCTAGCGCTATGTTTAAGTACCCAAACTTTAAGTGGAGTACTAAGGTCTACAAACATTTGGAAGATTTCATTATAAATTTTCGGAATATCACTGTAGGAATTAGTGGTCTTTAAGTTGGATAATACTTGTTTTCTCAGGTTGGCTGTAAGTTTTTGCCCCACTGCTGCACTCATTTCCTGGGACCATTTTAATTGAGTCATTTGTTTGTATTGAGAAGGTTCTATGATATTGTACTTGGTTATTTTGGTTTCGTCCTTTAAGTTAATAGACAACGATAATGGCTGATGGTCGCTTTCAGTACGCGTTCCAATTTTGAGGTCCATGATCGAATTTATAATATTATAAGGGACAAGAATATAGTCGATGACACTGCATCCTCGGGGGGAGAAGTATGTAAACTCCCCGCTTCTATCGCCTTTTGTTGAACCGTTCACAATCTGCAAATTAAAGTTGTTACATAATTCAAGTAGGCGTAAGCCTTCGTTGTTTACAACCCTATCTCTGGAGAATCGTCCTATTTTCAGGGCATGTGCGATATCATTATCAGTATTCCAATTTAGTTTGCTACATAGTTGTTCATTGTTGGTTCCCACTCTGGCATTAAAATCACCTGCTATTATCAGTGAGGCATTTGGGTATTTATCGGTCAAATTTTCTATATAGAAGGTTAGTTGTGACCAATTTTCACTGCTGCTGTTGTTTTTGGTTGGGGGGATATAGACATTTACTAGTAGCAAAGTATCGTCTTTTTGTGTTATAAAAGTAGCCTTTGTATATATATTCTGACCTAGATTATTTGCAATATAAGCAGTTCAGGATTTGAAGACAGTAACTAATAGTCTCATAAAATTTACAGATTTCAGAAAGTGAAAAGTTCACTGCTATAGCAGCCAATAGACACTTTGTTAGAAATTCAGCCTATTGGGTCAAAAGTTGTTCTGGGAAATAATTCAGCAAAAAGCATATATATATATAGATTCACTTCCTATTCACATCCCAAAGTGTTATAACAATAAAAAGATCAAAAATAAAACATCCAAATATATATTCCGCATTTTAAAACTTAGTGAAAATTGTCCCTTTCATATCAAGTAAGAACAGGGATATGCTTAACAAGTTATACCCTACATATTTATAGTAGTTCTTACGTTACTCAAGGAAATGTACTGATATGATACTGGTATGATTTTATTTAAAGCACCACCAGTGATGCTGTTCCCTTTTTCCTTGTTACAGAAAGGATTATTTAATTTGTCCACTGGTATTTTAGAAGGAAGTGTTGAATACAAGGTGGTCCAGGCCACTTTGCTGCCTGAAGTGAAGAATGGTGATTCTCCATGCCATCTGAGGCAGCAGGCCAGATTAGGCAGTCTAGCAGAGGGAATGTGGAAACAGAAGGTGGGTGGCTAAGGGCTTAGGACAAATAGCCAAGGGCTACTGCTGCCGCCCTGAGCATCTGTTGTCTGAGGTGAGTGCCACACTGCCAGCATTGGTTGAATGACAGTGAATATTGCTTTAAAAGGCATCTCTGAGATTGCTATGCTCCAGAAAGACTCACTTAATGCTTTGAAAAGAGGAGTACTAAGTTCAGTGCTCAATGGAAGCAGAAGAGCATGAAGTAAAATCAGAACCATGCACCACTGGTTTGCTTTTAAAATGCCTGTCACAGAAGTACATCTTATAACTAAGGATATTATTCTCCTTACAAGTACTGTATTCACAGAAGAGGCAGAGTTATTCTACTATCAGGTGTAGCTGAAAAATAACTGAATGTATTTCCAAGCCTAGGCTGAAATGACAAAATGTGTGAGTAGTCGTTAGGTGCTTTTGTGGCACTGAATAAGGTGAACTGATACTTCAAAAGGTGCCTTCCTTCTCCCCTTTAAACTCGGTATCCTCCCACACAGTTACCCATTTCATTATTATATTTCATTATCTGGTATTTTGAGAACATCTTGATGTAGAAAGCCTTTTTAAAAAATTTCATTCCCTTCTAGGTGGGGGTACATTTTTTTCTAAACAGTAGCAATAAATTGTTTGTAAAATGTGGTGCTTTGCAGTTGAATCAGCTAAATTGGGGTACATTTATGAAGTCTAAGGGCAAAGGAGACAGCAGTGTTGAAGATTAAGATTGCAATCTGATTCATAAACACTTGGGAATAAGCACCATTGAACTCAATGGAGATTACTTCTGAATGTGTGTATGATCAGACTGCATCACATTAAATTTTCTTGGTGCTACAATAATATATTTAAGCTGAAAATATGGCCAGTGGAGATCTGCTTGGCTGCCCTTCAGTTGCTTTTAATGTATGGTCAATCACCTAAGTAATCAGAATAAGTTTGAAATACATTTAATGTGCAAAAGGCTTTACAACGCACATTGGATTAATTTAAACCAAGAGTGGGGAACCTCAAGCCTTTAGAATCCCACACCCTCACTAGCCCATGCTTAATACCTCAAGTATTTTTGCCTGGCTGGAGTGTGTCTTTAAATTTGGACACAGCCCCAAACCTGTGTTGTATTCCTGCTTCCCCAAGTTTTGTCTTGTCACTATGTTATGAGTCCAAACAAAAGCTGTGCTGATTGTTACTCACTCTATACCCTATATTCACTCTATTGCCCTAAACCTAGCATGCCTAGTATGGATGTTTATTTCTCTTCTCCCTGAATTTTGTATATTGAACTAACCACAAGATTAGCCCACCTTTGTCAGATGTGCTTCATAGGCTGCCAAATTTGACTTGGGATCTGTCCAAGTCTGCTTTGCTCCCCACCATTCACTTTTCAGAAATAAATAAATAGAAATGCTTATACCTTTTGGCATGAGTAACTGAAATTTGCAGGCATTCTAGTGCTTCAAGAGTAGATAAAATCTCTCAAATTTTGTGTGTAATTGTGTGCTGAGTACCATCAAAGCTTTTTTGTTTTAAATGAGTAATCTATATATTTTTATTTTGTGGCAGATTTGGATGAAATTTGCAGACAGCACAAATATTGCCAAATTTCAGAAGCCTAGCTATAGTAGATTCCCCACAAGGGCAGCAATTACAGTTTTAGGTTGGATTACAAAATCTGTCTTATAGCTTTGTGGGTAATTGGTCTGAAAAATGCTGAGAGGTGTCCCTGGATAAGAAACTTGCCAAATTGCAGACAAATAGGTCCAGGGACTTTGTGCTAAGCATATTTAGAGTTGATGTGGGATGGAAAGATATAAAAAATATAAACTTTCCAGTCAAAACCATTCTCTCTGATTATAAACTAGATCTGTCTGTCACAATGGAACCCCCCTCCACTTTCTCCCCACCCTGATTTTATACTAGGCTCAGACACACTTCTTTCTTTCCTTGTTTTGTCCATCAAAATGCAGTTTCTCTACTGCCAGTTCCTGGTTGTTCTGTAGCATCCTCTGGTGTCACATTTTAATAATGCATTATGAATGTTACAAGCAAAACTTAATGTGTCCATCTACATTATGAAAATCATTCCTCACCCCTTCCTTAACAGTATAAACCATGGGTGTCAATTCGCCCTTAGTGTCTTGCCTGAACCCAGGCTCATGGTTTAGTTCTTTCCAGATTAACAATGGCTTGTCCTATGGTTTGCAGTTTCTGGGTTGTCTGAGAGAATCAAACCACAAGTCTGAGATTCGATGATGTACTAAGTCAAACCATGGCTTAACTCAATGCAGAACAACCAGAAAAGGGCAAAGTGGCCACTATCTCCTCTCCAGGAACCCATGTGCTTGAGCATTCATGCTAAGTCATGGTTTGGCATGATGTGTAAACAAAACCATAATAACCTCATGACTGAGCTAAAATTTGAACCACTGGACCGCATAAGAATAACAACATGCCCCATTTTAAGGTTACCTTTTTAGTTGAATGTCTCTTGGAATTTAATTGCAGCTAAATCTATTGAAGGGTGAAATAACACTTTCAGACTTGATTCCTCCCCCCCCCCCCGTGCATAGCATCTCTAGAGGCCATGTCTTCCCAAGAGAAAACTGTGCCATTGCACATAGGATTTATGCTGCAATAATGTTTTTCCCCACAGAAGAATGTGATCAACTTTCTGTTGAACAGAGAAATCAACATGCATTTAACAGAAAAGATAGGAATGTAAGGAACAGAAAGTAAACTGAACTGGATGGGATTTCTATTTCTACAGTATATATTCAGTGTGTGTAGAGGGAAAATGTTGCATCAGAACCAGTCCCTAAATCGTTTCTGGAAAAATAATCTTGGCTATTGGAGTATAAAATATTTTTAAATGCAACATATTAAATTTGATTTATTGTGCCCATTTCTCCCAGTGACTCAAGTTCCCCTGTGCAATCTCACATGCATGATTCCCATACAAGTATTTCCCCCCCTCTTTTAAGATAGTAAAGACAAAAAGGGGTATTAGAAAACAGCATCAATTTTATTCATCATTTCTGTTTGATGGGAAAATAAGCTCTCATAAAGGTAAAGGAATCCCTGACTGTTAGGTTCAGTCGTGGACAAAGTCTTTTGTATATAGGACACAAAATTATCCACTACTATAAAAATGTCTAGAGAGTAATTATTGTAGATATAAAATATGTATTATACTTCTGGCGGATCCACCAGGAAGACAGGCAGCAACGCCTTTGGTTGTTGCTATGGTTACCATGGCCTAGTGGGGCATATTTTGTATCACTTTTGTCTAGCACTTTATTTACTAGGAAAAGCAGCAATTTCATCTATTATTCACAAATATTCTCTACTTCATTCACTTCCTTTTTCCACCTCCAGTTTCCTCCCATCCTTTGTTCCCATTCTCCCAGAATTTATACATTTGTCTTTCCACAGTTTTGGGGATTTTCAAATTTTCAGCCTGATGTTCCTGTGGCTACCTAATTATCTTCGCAGTAAGGTAAAGGTCGTGCACTTCCTAGTATGATTGCCAAGCTGTTTGTTCAGGAAGAAAGAAAAAGCATGTCAGGCTTTCCAGAACAGAATTGTATATGATTGATTGTTTCAACAATTGTCCATGTATTATTTTGATATATATTCTACCCAGTGCTAAAGGCTGAAGGTGGTTTACGACATATGAAACAATGAGACAGGGAAACTTAATTCTAAAAATAACACCTCTTCCTTTCTTAAGAGGGGAATAAGATACCTTCATCATCTGAGAAGGTTGTTGGAATCGACAGAGCTCTGCTGTCATAGCTCAGTTAGTTAGAATGTGTTGCTGATAACACGAAGGTCACAGGTTCGACCCCAATAAGGGGCAGCTGCATATTCCTGCTTTGCAAGGGGTGACTAGATGATCTTCAGGGTCACTTCCAACTCTATAATTCTGTGATCCATGGGAGCTTCCTACTCCAGCTCAAATTCCTTTTCTACCACCTTTCCTAGCAAGTGTTCCTTAATTCATTCCTCCCACAGCCAGTGTAGCACAATTGCTTACTTAGCCCCATTAGCATTCCAGAAAACATAACACGATGAATATAAAAAATGCAAGCCATTGTAGTATAAGATATTTGTGCTGACAGCTCCACAAAAGACAAACCATGTTTACATTTTCAGGGTCAAAAAGAATCCCTTTCTTTGCTCTTCTGGAAGATATTTTCTTAGGTGGTCCTGGGTAAAACTGACAAAACATATTAGGGAGATTCTTGACCTTTTTCAAAATCTGGAAAAGAATATTACTATTATAGCCAGTTCCTAATTATAATAATTGTGCAGAAAAACATGTACAATCAGTGGTTGTGTTTCCCCCCAACCATTGTCATAGCAGCAGCCCTGGGGAAAGTACAGTATTTATAGTACCTGGTGACCCTATGTTGCCTGGATAAAATCATATTATTGGTCTCAACTTATGCTGACGTTAATTGAGATTTGCTGGACATAATGTGGATGTTCTGTTCTTTTTATTTGGTGTGCTAGGGTATGGGGGGGAGAGACGCCTTATCTGCACTATACATTTAAGCAATACTATACCTCTTTAAAGAGTTATAGCTTTCCCAAAGAATCCAAAGCGGTTTAACAGTTAATGCACCCCTGTGTACCCCCAGAAAAAAGCACTGCTTAAAGATCATCTAAATTTTTACAAGAGATTGATTCAAAAGCACCATCAAATTTTAGATCAATTTGAGGTCCGCAGATCAGTTCTGTGATTTATTTGTGGTTTTCTTGTCTTCCTATGTAAAAAACATGAAGAACCCTCAGGCCATGTTTTTGTGGTTATGGTAATCACTGGATCTGTGATTTTCAACATATACACTACCTATGTAAGCTTTAATTTGATAGCGTTTTTTGCACATAAAATTTTGATTTTTAAAAATATGATTTTAATTGCATTGGACTCCCCTTGTTGGCATCTGTCTGTCTTAAGAGAGAATGGATTGTGCCTCCAGGGGAGAAGTCAAAACGCTGCATTAGCAGCACTGAAGTGACCTCCCTTGGGTACAAGTAGGTGGACTACCTTCCCAGCTTGACAAGCCTCATCTGCCCCTCATTTCCCTCTATAGCATGTGCACAAACCACCTTCTTGATGTTTGGACCCATGACTGGTCTCATCTGCTCAATCCGCCAGAGCCTGTCTTCACATGCAGGGGAAGTCCCTAACTCACAGAGTGTTTGAGAACCATCAACTACCCTCATCCAGTCAGTTGATGCTGTTTCCCGGGGTGTGGCCACTGTTGCATGCTGACAGCTTCTAGCAGACACAGGTGAGTGGTGAGTGCAGAGCGGGTACCAAAGATGGGCAAGGTGTTAGAATTCCTGATCCATGATTGCAGTCATGGGATTTTTGTCTTTCACATGACAGTATATTTTGACTCCACAGAGTGGGAAGTGACGGAGACAGGATGTTTTTGTTACTGTGTCCCGTGAAGTGTCCTTTGTTCTTTCTCTCTTTGCTGTCTGATGCTAGAGAGGGAGCCATGTTGCAGTGCTCCGTGTGTGTTTATAAAGTAGATTAGCCCAAATGCTGAGTTGCTGAGGTCTGTCATGCAAGGTGCGCAAACTCTGAGGATCCCTAGGTGTGCCGATGTCTGTTGGCATCGGTCGCTGTGATGTTTGGGATGAAGAAAGCTTCTGAAGCTCCCAAACAATCAACCAGGAGGGAGAGAACATGCCAGTCGGGCATGTGTCTCTGCCAGGGTCCTACTCGAGTGTAGGCTGAACTCCTGATACAAACTACCCCAGAAGGAGTACAACGTGTCCCCCACCAGAGGCACTACCCCTCCCCAACACCCCATATACCCCACTGGGCTCCAGTAGGATGCAAATTGTGTGTGTGTGTGTGTGTGTGTGCATGTGTGCGTGCGTGCACACACACACACACACACACACACATTTTCTCTCAGGGGAGGGGACAGAGAAGCAAATGGAGCGTTGGTACCTACAGCACTCTCTCAAAATTCCAAATATGCCCATAGACACAAATAGGCTCACAACCCCTAGAACTATCAGAAGTCTGCCAGTAGAAAACCTATCAGTAAGTTTCCTTGACATTTCTTATTCAGCCAGATGACAGTCTTCATTTGTTATGTGGGATGCACATCTGCCAGCATAAATAGTTTTTATGTGCTTGACACCAAGTTGTCCATTAATAAGTTGAATTGCTGTGATATTTTTCATGTTAGGGATAACAGTATCCCAGCTGCTACATACAGTATATGATATGTCAATTATTATGAGCATAAATAAGGCTAAGTCACCTTGGCAGTCACTATATTACCTGAAAGTTAAATCCATCACTAGGAAACCACAGTAAATTAGGAGACACACATGCTTTGAATGAAAATAATAAATGGAATGAGATAATAATAATAATTAAAATTGTTAAAAGAAGGCATATATGTTATTCAGATCATGACAGTCTATGTCCACATTATAATGGAAGGAGACACTTTATACTTTAAAAACTCTGCACCGCTCATGTCCATCCCTATGCTGTAGATAGTGTGGGATGAAAACATTCAAAATGCTAAGTAAAGGGTTAATGCTCACCAGGGCTATAGAACTCTGTTATGTCATATGCCAGAGGCAGTTGTGTCAGTTGGTACAGTTATGGCAGTTATGAACAGTCTTTTGTGTTAGAGCAGCTGAGCAGTACCCTCCCAGTATATGGGGATAAGACATCATTGTAACAAAGCTCAATTACTATTGGCTACCTAAAGATTTATTCATCTTTGACAAATGTTATATTCAGATATATTCCATGAACATATTGATCAATAAGTCAATAATGCACTGGGCACAGAAAGGTTGCATTAAAATTGCTCTGCTGGTAAAGAGCAAACTACTAATTAATATATAGCTATAGCTACTACTAATAAAGCCTATAAAAATGTCATGGGTGATTCATGGCTTATGTAGACATTAATAAATTATTGACTCATAGCATGTTCTTGGCTTCTGAAGATGTTTGAAATTTGGAAAATAGATCTGGTTGAATATATATATTATAAAAAATAAAAATAAGCAAAAGTATATAAGCCTTGAATATGCAAGCCCAATACAATTCAAAGTTGAATGTGCTTAAATTCACTGACTGAAATTAATAGGTCTGTACATTCTAAATCAGTCCTGTATTATGACCACTTTCTATCTCCCTTTTCACTGGGAAAAAAAAACATTAGATACTAGCAGGAGATCCTCTGAGACATCACATCTGTCTGTGAACCCTGCATCAAACTTCCTCAAAGTAAATTGTGGATGTTTAATCCCTGCTGAGTCAGTCTGAGACAATTGCAATAAATCTGCTGTCATAGATAAGAATGGATCATAATAAGATCATAATATGCCCAATGTTAACTTGACATACAATAGGGAAAAGCACACTCCAGGAACGTAATGAAAATATATGTATCCTGCAATCTAAGATGGGCTGCTCCAGTGTATAGTCCACTGTGGATGCATGACTAAGGCAGATTAATCTTGATGTAGGAAAATGTAACCTTCAGAAAACCACGAGTGCTGAAGAAAAAAAATGATCAGGCCAGTTTAAAACTAGAAGGTGTTATTTGTTTTTACAACTCGCAAGCTTCAAAAGAAACTTGCTTCCTTTCAATGATAAAAGTACTTTCTCCATCAATATAATTATTTGTGATGCCAATAAAAGGTTTGATGATGATGATATAATTATTTCCTGCATGTTTGTGCCACGCCTCCCAGTCCAGTAGTATGCAAGGAGCATCCCCATGGTGCAACTCCACACACCTGCCATAAACTTGTGAGAAAAGCCAGTTGTTTAGATCTCTTCTATGCCATTAATATGGTGGCCCAATGTTTGATCATATCAAAGCTGTAATGAAAAAGCAATAAATTACTGGCAATAATTTATTGTTATTATTATTCTTGCTTGAAATAAGAAGCACAAATCATTACAACACAGAGCGCATTGCAATAATTCTGAGCCGAGCTAGAAACCCAACCACCAAGGCTACCTTAGCCTCAAATGACAATGCTGGATCCAAGAGTATTCCTGAGCCGTAAAGCTTGCTCTTTCCATAAGAGTGTAAAAGTTCTCCAAGTTCTGCTGCACACATAATTCCTCTGCATGGAATTCAAAATATCCCTAAGTAGATTGCTCAGTCAGTGCAAGCATTTCTACTTTCCTGACAGAATTATCTTCTCTCCTCACCCTGATTGCTGTTCACCCAACTCTCCAGAGCTGATTTGCGGGGCATGGGGAGCACGTGGGAGGAGGAGGAGGAGGAAGCCCCATTGTACTAGTGGAACATGCTGTGGTGGCTCTGCTAATGCAATTATTTAGTAGGCCTCTTTTCAGAATTCATTTTCAATTTGTTGGCCTACATCTAACCTATTACCACTTCCAAACACTTGTATAGCACCTCAGTTGCCTTTCCTGAGTCTGATGGAACAAAGAGACTGAGCTGGGTATCATCCACATATTGGTGACTCTTCACTCCAAAACTCCTAATGACAGCTCCCACCATTTTCATATAGAAGTTAAATAGTGTGGAGAACATGATTGGAACACTACAGGGAAGCTCTCATGCCATTGAACAGTGGTCTCCTATAATTACTTTCTGAAAACAGCTCTGGATGTAAGAGCAGAACCATTGAAATAAAGTGTCCCCAGTCCTCACCTCCATGAGCCACTCCAAAGGAGACCATGGTCTATGGCATTGAAAGTCAAGAAGAATGAACAGGCTCACAATCCCCATCTTTCTTTTGATAAATAATATTAAACTGGATTACCAAAGCAGTTTCAGTTCTATGACTGGACCTGAAGTGAACTGCCCTGAGACCTCCAGGTATAGGGCTGTATATAAACTATCATCATCATCATCATCATCATCATCATCATCAATCTCCTTCAAACATGCCTAACGCTTGACCACCATCATCATTTTGAGGACCCTACCAACAAGGGGATATTTGCTACTTGAAGCTACACACTTAGTTGGCTGCTTATCAGTCAGGAAGGAACTATATTGTGTTTGAAGAGAAGATGGATATGAAGTGAAATTATCCCAGAGACCACTGTTGTTTCTGGTCATTACATGCTCTTAACTATATTAGGTTCCATTTTTAATCTATTAAAAATGGCATAACAGAAAAGAGGTATTCTCCAACTCATATCAGTGGGGGTATTTTGTTGTTGTTTTTAGTATCCTGCATCTTTGCAATGCAAGAGATTTAACTCCCTCAGGTCCCCCCCATATATGTATGTGTGTATCTCCTATTTTTTGTGACTATGATAACACCCACAGTTTTTGCATTGCTTTTGGCAAAGTATCCTACTTAGCAAATGCTTTAAAAGTTCTGGCTTTCCTAGTTTCTGTGTCATTTAATTTTATTACATTCTCAAATATTAAATAATCATAAATAATGAAGACTCTAGGTTGAGATATGCCAGGAAAAATGTTTAAACTTGAGAACATAGTTTGGGGCCATAGTTTTCAGAATTTGAAGACCAAACCAGGGTGCCTCTAATATTTGACTGCTTTTAAAAAGCCTATTTTATAAATAATGTCATGGCCAATAATGCCATGCCTTGATTAATACTGCACAGAAACTACTTTAAGTTTGTGTGTGTGTGGATAATTTTACCACAGCCAATAGATAACCTACTTCCACAAATGTTTCCATGTTCCTGGTGAAAATCTTTATTTGTTGATTTGAAGCAGAGGAGTTGGCAGGCAATCACAGGAGCACTAGAGCAGCTTTCTTTTTTTTAAGGAGGGCTATTGTCCATCTCTGGGATGCGGGTGGCGCTGTGCGTTAAACCACAGAGCCTAGGACTTGCCGATCAGAAGGTCGGTGGTTCGAATCCCCGCGACGGGGTGAGCTCTCGTTGTTCAGTCCCTGCTCCTGCCAACCTAGCAGTTCGAAAGCACGTCAAAGTGCAAGTAGATAAATAGGTACCGCTCCGGTGGGAAGGTAAACGGCATTTCCATGCACTGCTCTGGTTCGCCAGAAGTGGCTTAGTCATGCTGGCCACATGACCCGGAAGCTGTACGCCGCTCGGCCAATAAAGCAAGATGAGCGCCGCAACCCCAGAGTCGGTCACGACTGGACCTAATGGTCAGGGGTCTCTTTACCTTTTTATTGTCCATCTCTAGACTGCCTTCTTTGACTTCTATGTCTACAAAACATTATAAAGCATTGTAGATGTTGTGGGGGGAAGCACTCCCCCCCCTGCTTTATTATCAACTTATATTTTCATGTCTGAAAACTCACCCATGGTTGAGTT